CTCTTTCCAGCCAGACCTGGTGGCTCACGCCAATAATCCTAGCATTTTGGGAGGACAAGGTGGGTAGATTGCTTAAGCCCAGGAGTTTAAGACCAGTCTGGAGAACAGAGGGAAGCCTCATCTCTACAAAATATACAAAATTAGTTAGGTGTGGTTGTGTGCACCTGTAGTCCAAGCTACTTGGGAGGCTGAGGTGGGAGGATCACTTGAGTCTGGGAAGTGGAGGCTACCATGAGCCATCATGGTGCTACTGCACTTCAGCCTGGGCCAAAAAAAATAGGAACCAGAAAAGAAAAAGAAGGCTGGGCTTGGTGGCTCACACTCATAATCCCAGCACTTTGGGAGGCTAAGTCAGTGAATCACTTGAGATCGGGAGTTCAAGACTAGCCTGGTCAATGTGAAACCTCATCTCTACTAAAAATACAAAAATTAGCTGGGTGTAGCGGTAGGTGCCTGTAGTCCCAGTTACTCAGGAGGCTGAGGCAGGAGAATTGCTTGAACCAAGGAGGTGGAGGTTGCAGTGAGCCAAGATTACAACACTGCACTCCAGCCTGGGTAACAAGAGTGAAACTCCGACTCAAAAGAAAGAAAGAAAAGAAAAGGAACTTCCTGTCCAAATAAGTTTATTTTTAATAAGTAAAAGTGTATTAACAGTGTTTATGGGAGAGTGTCCACACAAGTACAGCAAGCCTACAAAGTACAGGTTAAGAGACCTTTTAGTAAAATAATTTAAACTGAGAAGAAAAAGCAGAGATTTTTTTCCTAGAAGAGTAAGGAGTGGAGGTAAGGAAAACCAGCAGAGACATAGGTTATGCTATAGAAACAAAGTTGTGCCAATGGCATTGATAATTTAATACAGAAAAAAATAAATCAGAAAATGGGTATGTATAAATAGGTTAGGTTTCTGAACAAGAGAAGCAGTGAAGCGTTAGATGGGAGTGAGAATAAATCAGCCACTGGCTAGAGGAGTGGTTTGCCCAAGACCAGGGATGATGTCCCCAGGTGTCTGGAAATAACTGTTGTGATGTTGTAAAGCCCCCGTAGTCTAAGTTGGGTGAGGCTATACTTATTTTCTCACCTGTAATATAGCTAAAAAGTATTTCTACTCTGGGATTTCCTTACGTTTTACTAAAGCGCAATTATATACTTAAAATTGATGGTGTATGCTGAACTGCTGGTCATTCTCAACTCTGGCCAAGTATCAGAATTATTTATTGAATATACAGGTGCCATATATAGGTGTGTACACACACACACACACCATATTCCATTCCTCAACTGGGATATTCTGACAGAGTTAGTGGAGGGTATTTCTGGCCAATTTATATTTTCATAAGACCTCTGTTTTTTTTTTTTTTTTAAGTATAGATGAAATATTGCTATGTTGAGCAAAATGGTATGGAAATTCTGAGTTCTCCCAACTCACCCTCCAAAGTGCTGGGATTACAGGCGTGAGCCACTGCATCAGGGCAAGACCTCTGATTAATATCCTAGGTTTATTTGTTCAAAAGTTTCACATATCCTCTTAACCACAAGTTGTTGGCAGAGTTTTAATCTGAAGGGCTTGGGTCTCATGTTGAATGAATGAGGTTCACCTGATGGGTGAGAGGAAGGTGAAATGGAAAGTGAACAGGAAGCCATGCAGATTCGGCAGGTGAGCCTCCCCTCTCCCAAACCATAAGATTGAGTATGCCTGAATTCTTCCCAGAGTGGAGGAATCCATTTTAGGGGTGTGTGTGTCTGTGTGTGTAGATCCTTTAAATATTTCTGTTCTGACATTCATTGTTTTTGAGTCGCTGTCATTGAGAAAAGTTTATAAAGGAGATATTAGGAGTAGAAAATAGAAAGTAAATAAAATAATCAAAATAAAAATGTGGTTTTATACATAATAAGCAAAATAAAGGAAAGCTATCCTAGACCTCTGGTTTAAATGAAGATGGCACTTGGTGAGGTGTGTTCCAGGGGAGTTCACATGATGTATGTTTTCAGAGAATTACCTTATTACATATGCTGCTATATTTTTAATTTTCACGAATTAAAAGGCGTGTTGAAATTTCAGAGTTTTACTTAGGATCTCAGACTCTGCACTTTTTCTCTGTAATGTTTGACATTTCTTCCTAGCTAAGCCTCCACTTATAAGGTATGTGTTGCCACATGTGGATAGTGACGTTTAAAAATACCTAAGAACTCAATTTGGGGCAGAAGAATGTAATCAATTATGTCAGAAGTGATACAAACCATATGACATTTAGAGCATTCTGGCCTTTTCTGAGTCTTTTTTCTCCATTCCTGGATTTCTTATCTTCATGTGAGCAAGTCTGTGGTTACTATATGTTGCTTCTCATAGGCCACAGTCTTATTCTAAATATTCATGATAGATATTTATTTATTAAACAGAGCGTGGTGGGTGGGGGGTAAGTTTTTATTTTTTAAACAAAAGTGATTCTTATGGGCGTTTTCAAAAGCTGCAGCAGGAAGCTAAGAAGAAAATTTTGAATTGAGAGATCTCTTCAAATTACATTCAGACCCAATTCTGCTTTTCTATTTATGTTTATTTTTAAAGGAGATTAGCCTTATTTTAACACCAATAATCTTATCACAAAACCTCCCAGAGGAAGACCCTGTAGACTTTGTAATGACCTTAATCAAGTATTAGCCCTACACTTCAATTAATCCCCTACTATACAAAACCTATGTTCTTTTCTTTGAAGCCGGAGCAAGTTGAAAGGGGATTAATAATGCAGGGAAGCGAAGAGTGGAATTGCAGGTAGAGCAGACAGGCACAGCAGGCCAGGAAGAGTGTCCAGAGAAAACATTATCCAGACTTGTTTATGTTCCCTGCCTCTCACAGACTTGCTGAAAAATGAGCCATTCAATAATTATTTGAATCTAGAATTTGCACTTATGAGGTTTTAATTTGCAGTTATTTTGGCTACATTTTGGCCTCCTAAACCTCGGGTCTTTAGGAGCGAAACTTCAAAACGAAACTTATACTTTGTTCAGCACAGAGAAGGCCATCAAAATGCCGCCGTTTAAATAAAAACATTAAAATGATTGAGAGGCAAAGTCCCTTGACCTATAAATCTGACCTTCTTTAAACATTATTTGTACTTTCTCCAATAAACTATTCCCTAATTTATTAGTTACTACGTGGAAATAAAAATAGACGTGGAATGGAGCTGTGTTTAGCGTCATTAGGCTGACAGGAATACAGTGCATTCAACTTGGAGACACCCTTCCCCTCTCACGAAGAGCAAGGTCTCACTGGCCAATCAAAGCAGTGAACTCGTAATGAAACAGTTTTCTTGCTCCACCCACTCTGTAACTTAATTTGAAAAAAATCCGCGCCAACTCATGTTGTTTTCAATCAGGTCCGCCAAGTTCGTATTTAAGGGACTGGGTCAGTTCAGGTTTCCCATTGCAATAGGAATCATGTCTGGTCGCGGCAAAGGTGGTAAAGGCTTGGGGAAGGGTGGCGCTAAGCGCCATCGTAAGGTCCTCCGGGACAACATCCAGGGCATTACAAAGCCGGCTATTCGCCGTTTGGCGCGGCGCGGTGGCGTCAAGCGCATTTCTGGTCTCATCTATGAGGAGACTCGAGGTGTGCTTAAGGTTTTCTTGGAAAACGTAATTCGAGATGCTGTCACTTACACGGAGCACGCGAAACGCAAGACTGTCACTGCCATGGATGTTGTATATGCCCTAAAACGTCAGGGGCGTACTCTGTATGGTTTTGGCGGCTGAAACTGTCTCCCGGAAACTTTAAACAAAAAAGGCCCTTTTCAGGGCCACCCACAAAGTCACTTAAAAGAGCTGAAATAACGTTGCAAAAATGTGTTAAGTTTGGGTAGCAGAGTTCACTGCACCATCCTGCATGAGACTGCTGAGGGGCATGTTAGGTTTTATTTGGTATTGTATCTGTTTACCTGACTGCACATTTTGACAAGTACTTTTTAAGCAGAAAGTAGGTCTAGACAGGTAACCTCTTAAGAGTAACTGGCTCCACTAAAGAATTTTTCTGTGTGCTATGTCTCACGCCTATAATCTAGCACTTAAAGACGCCAATTCGGGTGGATCACTTGGTCAGGAATTAGACTAGCCTGGCCAACTTCGTGAAACCCCATCTCTACCAAAAACAAAAATAAACTGGGTGTGGTGGCCTGGGTCTGTAATCCCAGCTATTCGGGAGGCTGAGGCAGAATCGCTTGAACCCAGAAGGAAGAGGTTGCAATGAGCTGAGATCGCAGCCACTATGCTCCAGCCTGGGCGATAGAGACTCCCTCTCAAAAGGCATGTATTTGAAAGCATTCTAAGAATGATACTTTGGACTTAACCCGGTGGCTGGAGGCCTGTGTTGAACAAAGGTTAACACTCTTTGGCTCATGCACCACACAGCTATGTAAATAAAGCATCTTTAGGGACAAGCTCTCATTTGCAGGAGGATTGGGTTCTATGGCCATTGTCCTGTTGGCCAAAACCAGAACTGGAGGAAGAATCATAGCTGGTTAACTGTTTTTAACCTTATGTATGCCAGGCACTGGAAGGCCAGAGGAGCAAAGGTGCAGGAAGTCATCCAGAGGGATTCCCATATTGTCGAGAGAATGACCAACTGCAGGGAGAGGCTAGTCGTTCTTTCTCACTGTCTGTGATGAGAATCTAGGGACACTCCACTGCTGGGCACAGCATTTAGACAAAAGAGCTCTCTGCTATGTCAGGCAAGTGAGCTAAGATACTTTAGCTCAGACCCCAGAGATTAGAACAATTTTGTGGTTTAGGAAGGTTGAATTCAGATCCTAACTGAGCAGCCTCCAACATTTCCATGAAGCTTTGGATTCTTAAAATTTTTTGGACTGCACAATGCTCTGGCAGTCTGATGAAACCTACAGACTCTTCATAAAGAAAATACTTAATTCATAGGGTTACAATTGTTTCACCAATAATATTAAAATAACGATCAAACCACTTGACAGTAATGTGTTTTTGTTGATATATATCAGTACTTCTGAATCCATATTCTGGGAGAACTTGATTCCTATTTATTGATCCCTTAAAGTCGGTGGACACCATATTAAGAACCAATAGTTACAATGACACCACAGGAAAAGACTAGAATGTAGTACTTGTGTGAAAAAAAAAAAAAATCAGCATATCATTGTTTGGATACCAAATTGCTCTCCACTCCCTTCCTCAGCAAACAATGGCATTTTCAGAACTTAGATGCTCTTATATGTAAAAGCCTACTCTAGTGCACCATCAAGCTTTTCAGGATTGGACATCAGACTGTTCAATTCCTGGACCTTTAGGTATACACGACGTCTGTGACAAGAAGCCCTTTTTCTTTAGCTTTTTAAGTTTTGGACAAGTTCTCATTTGCTGTCACCCAGGCTGGAGTTAAGTAGCACAATCATGGCTCACTGTATCCTCAAATTCCTAGGCTCAAGAGATTTTCCCTTCTCAGCCTCCGGAGTTGCAGGGTCTAAAGGAGCGCGCCAATCATGCTCAGCTAATTTACTCTTTTGTAAAACCAGCAGTCTCCAACCTTTTTGGCATCAGGAACTGGTTTCGTCTAGGACAATTATACCATAGACCAGAAAGTGCGGGGGCTGGGGGCGGTGATTTCCGGACTAAAACTGTTCCACCTCAGACCAGGCATTAGATTGTCACAAGGAACCTGCGACCTGGATCCCTTGCATGTGCCATTCAGAATAGTTTGCTCTTATGAGAATCTAATGCTGCTGCTAACCTGACAGGTGGCGGGGCTCAGGGTAATGCTCGTTCACTCCTTACCTCCTGCTGTGCGGCCCAATTCGTCACAAGCCATGGACAGGGACCGGTACTGGTCCGTGGCTGGGGGCATGGGGACCCCTGGTATAGATGGTCTGTGTTGCCCAGGCTGGTCTCGAAGCCTGGCCTGAAATAATTCTCCCACCTCAAGACTTTTCATCCCAGCCTATCACAACTTAAAACCTATAGTTTACTGTCAGAAACTTAAGTGTTACGCCATCTTAAAAAAATGTGGGTGGCTCTTAAAAGAGCCTTTGGGTTCTTTCTCAATCGGCTTCCTGGAAAGCTCTTTACTTCTTAGATGTGGCCTTTCTAACATTAGTTTTATGTTGTGGGGTCAACTTTGGCTTTCCAGCCCTTGCCTTTACTGGGCTCTTCGGCTGTTGCTTACCCTTGGCTCCTTTAGGCTTTCTCCCGTTTCTAGCAGCCTTTTTAGGAGCTGTCGCCCTCGGCTTCTTGGCTCTCTTACTGGTTTTAGCAGTCTCTGGGGACTTGGAGTCCCTGGATATAACCAGCCTCTTGGTCTTGGCAGAAGCAGACTTTTTGGCCTTAGTCCTGGTAGATTTAGGAGCGACCTTCTTACTGAGCTTAAAGGAACCGGAGGCACCAGTACCCCTGGTTTGCACCAAGATTCCCTTGTTCACTAAGCTTTTGAGGGACAGTTTAATGCGGCTGTTATTCTTCTCCACGTCGTAGCCAGCGGCGGCCAGTGACTTCTTGAGCGCGGCCAGTGACATACCTACTCTTTCCTGTGACATTGAAAGGGCCTCGGTGATCAACTTGGACACAGAGAGGTTGGTCGCTTTGCGACTTGCAACCGTCAAGGCAGCAGACTTCTTCCCTCGCTTCTTGGCTGGAGGCCTCTCCATAGCTGGGGGAACAGAACCGGCAAGAGCTGCAGGTACGGTTTCAGACATAACAGCAAAGACACTAAGTAGTAACCAGTGAAGAGCGTCAAACGCTAGGGGGCCTCTGGGCCTTATATAGGGCAGGGCAGGCTGTGATTGGTGCATCACCTAGGCACCGCCCCCGCCCCTCGGAGGAGGAGTATTTGTGTTTGTTTTACCCAGAGAAGTTGACTATAACAAACCCCCTCTGTACAGGATCTCCCAGAGTTTCATGCTAAATGATCTGGGGAAATTCATATTTCACATGACTTTTTGCTTTTTAATGAAAAATGACCCTGGTTGCCAAAACTATTTGAGAAAGCCCTCGATTTTCAGTCAAATTTAAGGAGAAGAACAAAACTTCCCCCTTTCCTTGTAAATTGATAAGTAATTTTTGGCAGAAAACTTATTTCATTTCTTCAGAGTGATCTTCCAAATGGATAGCTTCAAATCGATAGAGGAAATAAATTATTCACGCCATGATTTTTATTTAAAATTATTTATATTTGTGAAGGAAGTAACACAAACCTGTTAGCTAACTGCGGACTCAGAAGATGCTTATAGAATTGTCAAAGACTGCAGAGGATATCTTTATTTAGGCAAGTGCAATCCAATAAACCATAATCCTCAGGAACATGGGTTGTCTGTGATTAAAGATGCTCCCAAGTCCCTGCAGCTTTAGAGAAGACTCTCAAGGATGGGGTTATATCAAGATCTCACATATTATGTCAGATTGGCCAAAATCCGGCCATTCTTATGGCTGGTGTCCTCAACTGAGGTTTGCTTCTGGTTTCACTAATTCAACTCCCCTCCATTTCCCTGCCATTTCCTACCTCCCCACATAAACAGACACAGTCCCTCCACAAAATTAGCTATAATACGTTAACTATAAAAAATTAGCTGGCTGTGGTGGCACTTACCTGTGGTCCCACCTACCTCAAAACATGAGGTAGAGGGGCGGGTGTGGTGGCTCTCACCTGTAATCCCAGCACTTTGTGAGGCCGAGATGAGTGGATCACGAGGTCAAGAGATTCAGCCCATCCTGGCCAACACGGTGAAACCCTGTCTCTACTAAAAATACAAATATCAGCTGGGTGTGGTGATACGTGCCCGTAGTCCCAGCTACTCTGGAGGCTAAGGCAGGAAAATCACTTGAACCCAGGAGGTGGAGGTTGCAGTGAGCAGATATCAGGCCACTGCACTTCAGCCTGGCAACAGAGCAAGACTGTCTCAAAACAAACAAACAAAACCAAAAAAACATGATGTAGAAACCCTAGACTCAAGAACCGACTGGAAACTACAGACCTCATGTCTAACAGGACTGGGCTGGTTTATTCAGCAGTGGTTCCTGCCTGTAATCCCAGCACTTTAAAAAGCTGAGGTTGGAGGACTGCTGGAGGCTAGGAGTTCAAGACTAGGCTGGCCTAGTCTCAAAAAAAAAAAAAAAATTAGCTGGGTATAGTGTGGTGCCATATACCTACAGTCCCAGCTACTGGGTAGACTGAAGAGGATCACTTAGAGCCTACAAGTTTGAGGTTGCAGCTATTGCATTCCAGCCTGGGCAACAAGTGAGACCCTGTCTATGAATTATTTACTTAATTACTTAACTCAGCTGGCAGATTTGGCTGCAGAGCTGTGGGACAATGGTTATTGGAATAATTTCAAGTATGCTCCCCGGAGCTTCTACTGGAACTGGTGTTTGTGAGAGGTCTGGAGGTAAGAGCTTGCTCTCAAAGGCCAAGGCCTTTCTGTGATGTTGATGGAGTTTACTGTGCTCATAGCACAGGGTCTCAACAAAGGAAAACTCTGTAAGGGCCATTTTGTGAAGATCCACAAATACTAGTGTGATTTTGGTAGACATTGCTAATTTTTTTTTTTGTTTTTTGAGATGGAGTTTTATTGTGCAGGCTGGAGTGCAATGGTGCGATCTTGGCTCAGTGCAACCTCTGCCTCCCAGATTCAGGTGATTCTCCTGCCTCAGCCTCCCGAGTAGCTGGGATTATAGGTGCCTACCACCACACCCGGCTAATTTTTTTTGTATTTTTAGTAGAGATGGGATTTCACCATGTTAGCCAGGCTGGTCTCAAACTCCCCACCTCAGGTGATCCACCCACCCCTCCTCGAAAGTGCTGAGATTACAGGTGAGAGCCCCTATGCCCGGCCACCATTGGAAATGTTTAAGCAAATAATTTGTTGTATTGTTGTAGTTGTCTTGGGTTTAGATTTATTGCAGTAACAATCATTATTGAGAAGGGCCCACAGTCAGAGGTTGCTAACAATAATTTCAGAAGAATGGCAAAGACCTTGCTTAAAGAGACAGTTATGTTAAAGGAGAGAGTCTACATTTGAAATATTTCTGAAGAAAAAGGCAAAAGACTGCAAACTTCTAATTGCAAAGTGACAGAAAAATCTCTCTTTCTGTTATACCCATACACACGCACATATACACAAACACCTGAAACAAAAAATTCAAAGAACAGACCAGGTAAGGTGGCTCAAGCCTGTAACCCCAGCAATTTGGAAGGTTGAGGCCCGTGAATCACTACAGCCCTGGAGTTCAAGGCCAGCCTAGGCAACATAGCAAAACCCGGTCTCTATAAAAAAATTAAAAAATTAGCTGGGTATGGTGCCATGTACCTGTGTTCCCACCTACTCAAAAGACTGAGGTGGGAGAATCACTTGGGTGCAGGAGGTTAAGGCCACAGTGAACCATGATTGTGCCACTGCACTTCAGCCTGGGCAACACAGTGAGACCCTGTCTCAAAAAAAACCAAAAAAATAGAATTGTCAAAAGACTGCAGAGGATGTCTTTATTTAGACAAATGCCAAAATAAAAATATATATATTTTTTATTTCACTTATTTTCAGAAAACGGTACTATTCTGAGCGCCAGCACTTCAACACATTCTATTGTAAACTAGTTCATTTCTAAAGAATACTGCGTTGGAAGTCAAGAGTTTGATTTCACAACTCACTGAAGTACCATGTCACTCAGTTTGGAAAGTATTTTTCTTTAGAGAGATTACAGGTGCATCTTTCTGAGCACCTGTACATTTTTACATCTGTTTGGCTTCTCTGACCTGTGATAATTTCTGAGTGTTTGTCCCATTAAATGTTAGTGACTAGGGGTCAGGTTGATCCTAACATTTACAAGTTGACATATTCCATTGCTTTAAAACCAACACAGGATTAGAGAATTTAGAAAATTGTTAGATTCCATAATTTAAGACCCAGAAAAATAAATGATGCATATTTTGAATTAGATAGCTAAAAAGTTTCCATAAAAACAAATAATTATTTCTTATTGGGTCATGGCTAATTTAAAAAATGGGAAAAGTGTCCCTCACTAGTAAAGTCATTAAAATAAGGAAATGAAATTTCAAACTTTTTGGGGGGCCCCATTTGGTTAACAATACTTTTAAAAATTTATTGTAAACATGAGTGCTATAAAAAAACAGGAATTTCCATATTATGTTGGGAATATAAATTGGCATGATCCTGAATGGCAATTGGCAATGTATATGTTAAGGACCTTAGAAAATTTTTTTCACTTTTGATTTAGTATTTACACTTCATGAAGTCTATCCTTAGGAAATAATATTTGAACAAAGATTTATGCACAAAGATGTGTAATCTATAAAGCTGTATAATTCATAATGCATAGAAATGCGAATTAACTGAAATAGTATTGAAGAACTAATACATAAGTATCAATATACCCATAAATTATATATCCATAAAAATTGTTTATAAGCATATTTATTATCTAAATATATATACAGCATGACACCTAAAATTTATTTTACATATATGATACATGATATATGAATGTGAATATATATGATATACATAAAGAAGAGGAGACACTAGGAGTTATTTTAATTTTGTCTTTATGCTTCTCATTTCATAAATTTCTATGAAGAACAGTTTAATAGTTTTATAACCAGAAAAAAACAAGCTAATTTTTCTTAGCCAGGTCCAAGCTAATTTTTCTTATTGGTTCTTCCCTGATTGTTCAAAATACCTCTGTTTACATTCTTCTAGGATCATTCGTTTTCACTGGTTTATTTGCAAGATGAAACAGTTTCCAGCAGTGATGAGTGTTGGAAAAGATATTTCTAAAGGCTGTTGTCTCCTTCTAGAGAAAAGAGAGAGAGTGATTGATTCACTTCTGTTATTTATCAGATACGAAATATTGTATTTGACTCTGAGAACAATCATGATGATGGCTAAAGTTCATTGGGTGTTTGCTCTGTTCCAGGTAGTATTTTGAGAACTTTACATAATAGATACCAATGCATTTAGTTGTTACAACAACCTTGAGTTATCTACTGTCATTCTCCCTGTGTTATAGATGAGGAAATTAAGGCACAGAGGGGTTGAGTTTCCGAGGTAGCGCAGGAGGGCAGAAAACCAGAAAACACAGGGTATGTACATATCTGGGCAGAGGCAGAGCCTATCAGGCCATGATTCAGGTGTTTAGAGTATCCTAAAGGTAAGATTCATCTCTTTCAGGCCTATCCTAGACCACTCATGATGCCACAGCTAACATGCCAGCAGGATGGAGGCTCCTTCCTCTCATTTCCAGCTGATTAAAATTCCCAATCCACTCAAGCCTTCTTTATGGGCCAAGGTTAGTCTCCGATTTTTAGAGCCTAAAACTCTGAGCACTCTAAGCCCTCCAAAATGCCCTTACTTTGCTGCCTGCTGAGCATCTTTGAACCACTCTTGAGGCTAGCAGTTTTCCTTCCATTCAACATCTCAGAATCTGTATTGTTTCTTACTGTTCCTGTAGAATTCTTTTTTTTCCTTTTTTTTGGTCCCCACCCCCATGTTTCTGTAGAATTCTTAAATATGCAATTTTATATTTTAATTTCCAAAAATGTTTATTTCAGTGCACTGAAGCCCAAATATGTGTGTTTTAAAATCTAGTGTCCAAGGTTCATTACCCCAATTGTTTAAGCAAGTCCAATAACAAAAGGGGCACATTTTAATTTTCAATATTTTTTGGTTCTATCCTATAGCTGAGCTTGTGCCAATAATAGTAGAGAAAAAAGTGAAAAGAAAACTAAGGATAAGAAAATAAAGGAAGGGACAACAAGGGGAGAGGAGGTAGAAAACTGAGAACAAAAGTTTATCCATATTTCTCTTGGATCAAATTCTTTTACCATTTGAAAATTTGATATGGTCAGAGAATAAACCTAGAATTTTAAGTGATGAGGACAAGATTTTACCACAGGGTAGCCTCCTCTACCTAGGTCTATTTCCTCAAAGAATGAGACAAGCCCCATCATTTCTGCTCTTTTACCCTTCTGAGCCAGAAGCAAAGAGATCTCATATCAAGGCATGAGCAACTGTAGAAATATGAGACTAGATGTCTCTGTTAATTATTGTATAAATTTCATATTGGAGGATAAGCATACATGAATCTTTAAATCAGCAACTCAAAGTCCCATTATTATTACATATGTTTTGTTTCTCAGAACTGAGGTGGGGCTGAGTACAGTGACTCAGGCTAGTAACCCTAACAGTTTGGGAGGCTGAGGCAGGAGGATCACTTAAGCCCAGGAGTTTCAGATCAACCTGGGCAACATGACAAGACCCCATCTCTACAAAAAAACTTTTTAGAAAAATTATCTGGGCATGGTGGTATGCACCTGTTGTGGTTCCAGACACTCAGGAGTCTGAGGCAGGAAAATAGCTTTAGCCCAGAAGGTTGAGGTTGAAGCAAGATGCGACTGTGCCACTACACTTTGGCCTGGCAGCCTGGGTGAGACCCTATCTCTGAAAAAAAAAAAAAAAAAAAAAAAAAAAAAAAAAAACTGAGGCCGGGGAGTAGTAAGAAACTAACTCATTCTCCAGATTTACTCCCTTTTTCTTAATTATAATGAACTCATGATACTTGAGGATATGTCAAACTGATCTTCAGACAACAAAAAACTTGCTCAGGGTCTAAAATACTTTTCCTAAAAGGTTACAGACAGTGGTATACTCTACTGAATTTTATGCTTGGTCATCCGGGATTACACAGGCTAAAGGTAGGAAAAGATTAACTTTTAATGTCTTCTAAGTTAGGACTATTGGGATTGTTTGGCAATGTGCTGAATATATTATACCCTTCCAAATCAGGAAGAGTCAAGAGAAATGATAGTTATCATTCTGTAAGTCCTTAGGAATATGCCTAGAGATCCAATTTCATATATGTGGGGAAAAAAGTATATATTTTTTTCTACCTATTGGACCCAGGTAAACATATTATGATCAACTGTCATTTTTATATCAAATAATTTATGAAATTCCTATAATTTATGGAAGGCCAACTCCTACCAAAGTCTTTAGTCATAAGCTGCTTCAAGTCCTTTTAGGAGTGTAAAGATGGTTATAAATAAAATTTGTCAAACAGCAGTAAACACAGTGGTTTATATGCATTAAGAATCTTTAATATTCACAAACTTCTAGAAGGTAGGTGCTATCACCATCAAAATTAAGGTGTAGAGAAGGATACTAACGCACAGAAAGATTAAATGACCTGCCTTAGAGTCCCACAGCTGATATATAGTGATCTGGGAGTCAAACTTGGAGTTTGTCTCCAGAGGCTTCACTTTCTGTCATCATGGAGCAATGCTGTGCAGCCATTTTAGTGGTATGATACCATTTCTGGAAGTAGTTAGTGTTCTGTGGTTGTTATTTCATTTAATCATCACCCATCTTTATGAGTAGGGCAATTATTACCACCCTATAGGCTCAGGGTGGTTGTTTGTAAAACTGTAACTCAAAAACATTTAGTTAATTATCGGCATACTATTTATTTGCACACAAGGTATATCAAGCAATGGACAGATCTCACTCAACAAAATATTTTTAAAAGATGATTTTATATAATAGAAATAGAAGAAAAAACCTACAAACTGTCTAGGAATAGGATGTTGTGTTTACACATTATTTTCAGGTGAATAGAGTTTAGTATGGATAGTCTCTTCTTATGTAAACCAAGAACTTTAAAAGAAAACATTAGTGATTCTCTAGAAGCACTTAAGATTGGCTGTGCACCACTGCGGCTGACTATCTCTATGTAATATTTTCCACTGACAATCAGCATTTCCAAGGCCGAGCGTGGTGGTTCCTGCCTATAATCCCAGCACTTCGGGAGAACAAGGCGGGCAGATCACGAGGTCAGGAGTTCGAGACCAGCGTGACCAACATGATGAAACCACATCTCTAATAAAAATGCAAAAATAGCTGAGCATGATGGTTCATATAATCCCTCTCCTGTAATCCCAGCTACTGGAGAGGCTGAGGCAGAGGAATCACTTAAACTCAGGAAGCAGTAAACTGAGATCTTGCCAATGTACTCCAGCCTGGGTGACAGAGGAAGACTCCATCTCAAAAACAAAAACAAAAACAAACAAAAAACCTCCATTTAGATAGGCCATGTCTTCACCATTTCTGGCACCATAGTTTTTCAACTCCCACATTTGGGGTAAAAATATCTCATAAAGGAGTGAGTTTAACCATTTGAGTTTTAGTCTTTTTTCTTTTTTTTTTTTTGACAATGGCTTTGTAACAACACTTAATCATTTGCGTATTAGAGAATCAGAGAAATAGGGCAAAAAAAAAAAAAAAGGTTATGAGGGTAATTACAAATATTATAAGAATTCCTTGAAATATACATTGTCTCCAAGAACTTAATTGGCTTGTCTTAGTTAGATGAATAAATCTCAAAGATCAGTTTGGTCAGCTTTAGTTAAAGAACTTCAGTTTTCCTAGCTGATTATTTTCATTCAAATGTAGGTCATAAGCAGAAATAAATTACCTAGTAAACATTCTTATTTAGGAACTTTTAATAGCAGTATAAAGGTCCTTGTTACAAACCTGCAAAAAGTTAGCATGCCAATCTCTTAATAAAATATAACTGAGATTTATTTGCTGGTTTTTTAATACTTGGGAAGGCCAGATCAAAATTTAATCATGGGAAAGATAGATAATGGAGAAAAGAAGAAAGCAGAATAATACCACAGGTAAAAAAGGAAGTTGCCTATTCCAGACCTCATCTTCATGTGCAGAATTTGAAAAAAAAACTTCCTACTTCCAGAATTCTGGAGGTCTTTTAATGAATCTCAGAAGTGTGTATTTTTAGTGACAGTGCGTATCCCAATGGGATTCCTAATGTGTTTATACTGGGAAGCACATATACATCTGATCTGAAACATAAAAGCAGTATTTGTTGTTTAAAGTACTGAAAATGGAGGTTCCAGCATTGTTATAATGTCAAAAATTGGTTATTACATTAAGATATGAATATAATATAGTATGAATAAAAATTTTAAAACGATTGATAAAATAAAATATTATTTTAGAGTGGCAACCCAGAGTAAATTGAATTTACTACATTAACAAACAGTAACAACTTTTTTTTGTTTTTTGAGACTGAGTCTTGCTCTGTCACCAGAGTTGAGTGCAGTAGCACGATCTTGGCTCACTGCAACCTCAACCTCCAGGATTCAAGCAATTCCCCTGCCTTAGTCTCCCGAGTAGCTGGGACTACAGTCGTGCACCACCACGCCTGGCTAATTTGTGGATTTCAGTAGAGACGGGGTTTCACCATGTTGGCCAGAATGGTCTACCATCTCCTGACCTCCTGATCCGCCTGCCTCGGCCTACCAAAAGTGCTGGAATTATAGGCATGAGTCACCTCACCCAGCCAATAACAACTTTATAAATAAGTATGGCCTACATCTGCTGACCTCCTGATCCGCCTGCCTCGGCCTACCAAAAGTGCTGGAATTATAGGCATGAGTCACCTCGCCCAGCCAATAACAACTTTATAAATAAGTAAAGGCTCTAGGTAGTGATTATCTTGAATGCTTCCTTACGTTTCTCCTTAGCTATAGTACTTGATAGAGTCAGAGCTGTTTAGATTAACAACAGCCCTTAAACAAAGCAGGCAATTGTCTTCCCTCACAGGCATGAAGAAAACAGAGGCAGTCATCCAAAACCTGCATGGTCCTCTGGGCCCACAGGTAATACAGCACATACTCCTTTTACAAATCTAAAGTGGCAAAAGCAAGAGTATCTTTTCTAAGGCAATCGTATATTCTCTCATCTGTTAATCAATGGTTTCTCTAAACTGTAAAAATATGTTATTTGCATAAACTGTTTTTGGGGATTTGCATTTTGTACCCACTAATTTAGAAATTGTGCAGGTATCCAAAGATTAAGCATTAATGTACTCAATTTAATAATGTTCACTTAAATTCTTAACATTATCATACATTGTGAATTCAGTACTTAAGCTCACACATTGAATCATTATAATTTATAACATAAAATTTAATTCTATTTTAAAAAATGACATATATTATGATTTAATTTGGTTCAATTAATAATTTACAATTTTAAAATTATAAATCAAGTGATGTTAACTCATCTAACCAGTAAACCTAGTGGAATACATTTAGTAAATTCAAATTAAATTAGTTTTTGTTTTTAGAAAATGAAACCTAGACTTGTGTAAACTATATTAGGCTAATATTATTTTTACATTAAGTAGAAAAAGCCACATTTAAATTGTAATTATTAAGCCAGACAATTTGTCCAAAAGATCATCTTGATTGGAAATATGAATCGATGTTTTTCTTTATAAAACAGAATACCAGGTATTAATATTTTTAAGTTTTTTAAAAATAGTGGAGTACTTTTTTTTTTTTTTTTTTACAAAATACTTTAACTTATTAAATAAGACCACTAATAAAACTCAGTTAAACTGTTTTTTTCTGAGTTACAACTTGAAGAGGTAGCACATTTAAAGCACAGGGAAAATTTTTGATTGTTTTTTAGACAAATGAGTTTTTATTTAAATTGATGTACTTTAATTCTTATTAAAAGCCAACTTGATTAAAAAAAAAAAGCCATATATAGTCAGCCCGATTTAAAAAAAAAAGCCAACTAAAATTTCAGATTACATTATAGTTTATTAATCCCTGATGAGGTGGATAATCTCACAATTATTTATAGTCATAAAATAAGACAGTCTTGGCCGGCATGGTCGCTCGCCCCTGTAATCCCATCACTTGGGAGGCCAAGGTGGATTATATCAGGTCAGGAGTTCCAGACCAGCCTGGCCAATATGGCAAAACCCCATCTGTTCTAAAAATAAAAAGATTAACCGGGTGTGATGGTGAGCCTGTAATATCAGCTACTCAGGAGACTGAGGCAGGAGAATCACTTGAACCTGGGAAGCTGAGGCTGCAATAAGCCAAGATGGTGTCACTGTACTCCAGTCTGGGAGACAGAGCAGAGCTCTGTCTCAAAAGGAAAAAAAAAAAAAAGATAGTCTCAATATTATTGCAAATTAGGAAAGCTAACTATGTGAATAGAACAGAATTTAAAGTAGGTAAAAACAGAGTCATAGGTTATCTATCTAGCATGCTGATCAGTTAAAGGAATAAAGGCATGTAATTAAGATCAGAGGTCCCTCAGGTGGCACCATTGCTGAGAATATAATTCTGATTCTCAGTTTAGTAGAAAATTCTAGTTTCCAGTGTTATATCCCTTATAGTAAACTCATTAAAGTTTAGAAAATATTAAATCTTTGTTTTATTCAGGTATTGAAAACACTCTTTTTTCCGGACTCAGTCCAATTTATAACATTTGTTTCTTCTATTCTCTACCCTTACTTAAAGAACCCAAAGAGACAATAATTTGATATTACTAAATATTAATAATGAGTTTTCGAGTCTTTTGCATAGCGATTACTGAGACCAGGCATTTGGTTTCCTTGATTTCCTTTCTGTCTCTTGTTAGTCCCAGACTTTAAAAGGAGTCCTTTTAAAGCCAAAAGTTACAACAGGGCAGCCATTTTATATTCATATAATCTTAACACAGGAATGCTGGTTTTGCAGACATTGACAACTAACTATTTGGACTCAAAAAAGTTTTGCAAGGTGGAAACGGGCATGCAAGCATAAAACATCAAACAGTGGATCCCATCAAAAGCCAGAAAGAAAAACACCAACTCTCTAACCCTGTGTTCTCACAGAGAATATCAACATCTTAAAATGCCAACACTCCAAAAAATGTTAATAAATAAACGAGATTTCCTGTCCTCACCACTGACTAATCACTTAATAATGTGACCAGAAAACCATAATTCAAATTCCAGCTCTGCTACCAATACACAACCAATCAGCCAAATGCAATCAGAATAACAAGAAAAAAATGTGGATGATAAACTTTGAGCATGCAAAAACCAAAGGAAAGTGAACAGAAAACTCAAAGGGTCCAGGACCGGACAAGATGTTTCCAAGACACACATTCCTGTTGCCTCCTATTATGCGACTTATATATAGTGTCTTGGTGGAAAATTCAGAAATAAATGATCAAGGAGTTAATGATTTGCTTTCTGTGACTTGTATGGAAGACAGAACAAGCAATAGATTATTTCATCCAACAAAGGCAAAAACATAATTTATGTAAGAGAAAGGGGAGAAGGTGGGGAAAGAACTTGGAATCCGCTTGAGAATTCTGAATTTTGTTTGCAGATTTTGGTTACACTGATTAGTTTGTTGGCAGGTAGAAGAGAGGTCAGTCTGGATGGAAATAAGGCTTTAACCAGGTCCATTACAGGCATAGAATTTAGTTGGTGAGACTCTGGAAGTTTCATTTCTTAGAGCAGTGTTCAACTCTAAGGCCTTGTCTGGCACCAAACACTGACCTTAGTTTATTTTCCAGGTGTGAAAAAAATTGCAGATTTATGATTACACAGTCCTTATGTTAAATGACTCTGTAACCTAAATTACATGATATTTATCTAATTTTTAAAAAATCTGCTGTAACATTATTTATTGCATATTCTCAATATTCTCTCTTTTTTTTATTTGTTGTTATAAGACGGATTCTTCTGTCACCCAAGGTAGTATAGTGCAGCGGCCCGATCTTGTCTCACTGCAACCTCCGCCTCCCGTATTCAAGCGATTATCCTCCCTTAGCCTCCCGAGTAGCTGGGATTACAGGCATCCGCCATTGCGCCCGACTACTTTTTATATTTTTAGTAGAGACAGGGGTTTCACCATCTTGGCCAGGCTGGTCTCGAACTCCTGACCTCGTGATGCCCCCGCCTCGGCCTCCCAAAGTGCTGGGATTACTGGCGTTAGCCACTGCGCCCGGCCCATTCTCAGCCTTTAATGGAGAAAGCAAACTTCGCTTCTCGGTGCTAAAAACGTGTCCCAGACTTGAATAAAAACAGATAGGCAAACTAATTCTAAACTTTCATCTTAAAATCTTTGCCTGGAAAAGACCAAGAGTAAAATACTTAAGGAAATGTGGAATTTCCCAGGCTATAAAGCGGCCTGCAGTTGTCTAGGAAGGGAACGTCCTCTAGGAGACGTAGTGTATGCCAAGTTTAATGGCGTCTCCTCTTCATTCTCTCATTCAACGCCTATTCCTTACTCGCCTTCAGTTCAGTGTTGAATGAAGGCTTGTCAATTTACCTAGCACTTAAGAGTTGGCTTCTCCTAAAGCAACTTTCAACCTTTTGTGCAGGTTACAAGCCCCCTAAGGAGATTTTAAATTTCAGTCAGGCAACATACAATTTATGGCTAAGCACTGGGATTCAAATAAAATTTGGCTTGAATCTTAAATAGATAAGCCAGTTGAATAGAATAAGATGCATGAAGCAACATCTGGCGCAGTGCTTACATCAACAATATTTCTATACTGCCTTAGTCTTGTTAACAAAACTGAGACGTATTAGGTTAAAAGGCCTCATTACTGGAGCAGTTAGAATCTCGCGAGACAAGCCTCAGTATACTACGAAGTTGTGCGCCAAGAAAAGAGGGCGTGTCCTTCCTTAGACAGTGACTGCACAGGTTCCCACTCCGGTCCGCTATGTAAATATGGGTCTCAAACTAGCTTTCCTTCGATTGGCTAGTGTTAAAAATGACTGTAGGACACAGCCTATTGGCTAGAATCCGGTGGCGAAATTGACTTAGGCAGCCGTTGATGCCGGCGTCGTAAATGGCGTGACAGCTGGGTCCCAAACCTACGCGTGGCTGAGGTTTCTTCCGGGAACAGAGTATATGTGTGATCTCTGGTCAGCAAAATGGCCGCTTGTCACCATTTTGAACGGTTGATTTTTAGAGTATAGACCCCTTTGTCCCTCAAGATGTAATGCTTCTTCCCACCCCGCGCTGCAATCGCTACCTTCTATACCCCTCCCCACCCAAATGAAATTACCGTCCGGCCACAGCTCTCTTAAGTGACTAGGTGGGTGGCTCTTAAAAGAGCCTTTGGGGTTAGGTGTTAAGACGCTTACTTGGCAAGTTTACTTGGAGCTGGTGTACTTGGTGACGGCCTTGGTGCCCTCCGACACGGCGTGCTTGGCCAGCTCCCCGGGCAGCAGCAGGCGCACGGCCGTCTGGATCTCCCTGGAGGTGATGGTCGAGCGCTTGTTGTAATGCGCCAGGCGGGAAGCCTCGCCCGCGATGCGCTCGAAGATGTCGTTGACGAAGGAGTTCATGATGCCCATGGCCTTGGAGGAGATGCCGGTGTCGGGGTGCACCTGCTTCAGCACCTTGTACACGTATACGGAGTAGCTCTCCTTGCGGCTGCGCTTGCGCTTCTTGCCGTCTTTCTTCTGGGCCTTGGTCACCGCCTTCTTGGAGCCCTTCTTCGGGGCGGGAGCGGACTTCGCTGGCTCAGGCATCTTAAAACACCAGAAACGTGTCGAAAGCAATGAGCGGATTTCTGCTACTTATAGGGCTTTTATGCTAATGAGGGATGGAGAGCACCTCTTAGTTAATTGGAAGACAAACTGCACAGTTGTCATCCATGGGCCGAACTATGCAAATAAGGTATGAAAGTGCTGCTTTTCTATTGGCCACCTGACTGACAATTGCTACCGGCCAATCAAAAGGTCGTATTTACTCCCTGGGAAATAGCTATAAAAGCAGCCATGTTTTACATATTTTCTGATCTTGTTTGTTTTCGCGTGAGCCTTGGTTTCTTGTTTTGGTGCTTTTTTTGTTTGTTTGATTGCCATGTCTGGACGTGGTAAGCAGGGCGGTAAAGCTCGCGCCAAAGCGAAATCCCGCTCTTCTCGCGCTGGTCTCCAGTTCCCCGTGGGCCGCGTGCACCGCCTGCTCCGCAAGGGCAACTACGCCGAGCGGGTCGGGGCCGGCGCGCCGGTCTACCTGGCGGCGGTGCTGGAGTACCTGACCGCCGAGATCCTGGAGCTGGCGGGCAACGCGGCCCGCGACAACAAGAAGACCCGCATCATCCCGCGCCACCTGCAGCTGGCCATCCGCAACGACGAGGAGCTCAACAAGCTGCTGGGCCGGGTGACAATTGCTCAGGGCGGCGTCCTGCCCAACATCCAGGCCGTGCTGCTGCCCAAGAAGACCGAGAGCCACCACAAGGCCAAGGGAAAGTGATTTCATAGGTGTCTGAACTTCCGGAAACTATCAAACCCAAAGGCTCTTTTCAGAGCCCCCCCTACCGTTTCAAAGGAAGAGCTAACCTCACTGCTTGTAGGTACTAGGAAAAGTGCTAAGGTAAGTTAATTTTATCCTACTCCGGAGCAAAGTGTATTCCTGCTTTTAAGTTTTTTGGGAAACGCTGGTACTAAAGGTTGGCCTGTTTGTATGTAATAGTAGGTTAGCTATTTATGTAGTGTCAAGCACTGTCATATCGCAACGAAATAGCCTAGTTAACGTTTTGTAAGTCGATCATAGTGCCTAACTGTGGTTGATATGCAGAGATGCCTTGTGGTCCAAAAACTTCTGATAACTTTAAAAAAAAATTGAAGGTAAAACTAGCGTGATGGTAACCTTGTTTGGTCCTCCGACTAGTCCCCTTTCTATTTTTTAGTTTAGGCTGCAGGCAGCCTGCCTTTCGTAATTCTGTAAGATTTCTAGGTTCTGTTCCTGCCAATGTGCAGAGTATACTGTCAAAAACTTAACCAGAGAGTTGAAAGGTGTCCCTAATCTAGAACAACGTTTGACATTCAACGAAATCAAGTTAGTAATATTTTAAGAGGCTCAAGCGTCTAGATTTCCAATACGGCCAGAAAAGGGGATACAGTGAGGCCTGTGGCCTTTCAGTAAACCTTTGCTTCTGCTTACGTCTGACCGTAGCACTTTGGGAGGCCGAGAGGGCGAATCGCCTGAGGTCAGGAGTTTGAGATCCACCTGGCCAACAAGGTGAAATCCCCGTAACTAAAAAGAAAAAAAATAATTACTAAAATTAGTTGGGCGTGTTGGCACGTAACTGTAGTTCCAGCTACTCAGGAGGCTGAGGCAGTAGAATCACTTGACCCTGGGAGGCGGAGGTTGCAGTGAGCCGATATCACACTACTGCACTACAGCCTAGGCAACAGTGAGACAGTCTCAAAAACAAATAAAAAAGCCTCTTTGCTTCTAGGGATCTAGTGACAGCTGCCCCACCCACAGGAAATGGACTTCTGGGACCATAGACAAATCTCTAGGGAACCTATTTTCCTGGAATCTGAGAGTGTCGCCGAGGTTTTTTTCCAGATCTCGGTTTCTGCCTTTTCTTTTTTTTTTTTTTTTTTTTTTTTTTTTTTTTTTTTTTTTTTTTTTTGAGACGGAGTTTTGCTGTTATTGCCTAGGCTGGAGTGTAGTGGCGAGATCTCGGCTCACTGCAATGCAACCTCCGCCTCCCGGGTTCAGCGATTCTCCTCCCTCAACCTCCCGAGTACCTGTTACAGTCGTGCACCATCATCCCTGGCTAATTTTTTGTATTTAGTAGAAATGGGCTTTCACTATGTTAGCCAGGCTTCTCATAAGTTCAAGCAATTCTCCTGTCTCAACCTCCCGAGTAGCTAGGACTACAGGCGCATGCCACCACGCCTGGCTAATTTTTGTGTTTATAGTAGAGACAGGGTCTCGAACACCTGACCTCAAGTGATAGCCCGCCTCGGCCTCCCAAAGTGCTGGGTTTACAGGCGTGAGCCACTGTCCCTGTCTAGTTTCCGCTGTGTTCGGAAGTAAGTGGGTAAGGAAGTCTGGGGGCGGGTAAGTCTTACTTATGCCTCAGCGCCCATCTGCTCAGACTGGCCAAACAGACTCAGTCGTTTAGTCACAGGCGTCTGGAACTCCATTGAAGCGTTTTGCATGAAATCGTTTCGAGCCTCCAAACCTGACTGTGGCAGAAGATGATATTAATAATAATCCAAGTGGAAGCTGTTTACTGCTGACCTCCTACTTCCCAGATACTGGCACCGATTTGGAGCCGTTCCAGGCTTTTCCGCCCTTCCCTCCCTCTACCCCTGTTTTCCCCTGCAACTACCCTCAAAGGAAAAGGTACTGTTTGGGTGATAACAAAGTGGCATAAAAGCAAATGATCACTTTTGATGGTCACATGTTAGAATTTTCCGAGGATATTTTGAAATTAAGACGATTCTGATGGGCAGCTGGGGTAAGAATCATCAGAAATGAGGAAGGTCTGGTTTCACGGGGCTCTTGGCCAGAGTGCTGTGAGGACCGGATTCTTCCCCTAAGCATTTCCTGTGTGTCTGAGAACTTGGATCCTTAGGTTGGAATTGCATCATATGGGCCTTGGAATCCTTTTTATTCCCAGGCCAAATTGCCTTTGATCCCACCTCCCAATAGGTGAGAAACCTTGGCCTAGGGCTTAACCTCTTCATGCCTCCATCTCTTCCTTGTATACTTTTGCTTACTTGCAATGAAAAGAGCCTGGCTCAGTAAGTGTAGATTCTGAAATCAACACAGGCTGCATAAAAGAGATGGCTTATTAGGCACTTACTGTGTGCCAGGTACATTTAACAAGCTTCCAGTGTGTTAATTCATTTAATCCAACAATTTGAGAGATAGGTTTTATCCCTATTCTGAGTCTTGAGATGAGCAAACTAAAACTGCTTAAAGAACTGTCTTAAGTTCCGAGGCCAGGAAAAAAATACTTACAACTGCTATTTTATAACCAATCTCCATAAAAGATTATTGTCAGAAAACTAGAATGAGTAACCATACATAATGGGTAAACTTTGTCCACATACCAGAATGTTACCCATGGCTTCCTAATCTCTAAAGAATTTAAGAGAACGAGGAAAGATTCAAGCGACTCTACTGCCTCAGCCCCCTGAGTAGCTGGGACTGCGCCACCACGCCCTGCTAATGTTTGTATTTTTAGAAGAGACGGGCTTTCACCATGTAGGCCAGGCAGGTCTTGATCTCTTGACCTCGTGATTTACTCGTCTCCATCTCTCAAAGTACTGGGATTACAGGCATGAGCCATCACGCCGGGCCTTATTTATTTTTTCAAGATGGAGTCTTGCTCTGTCACCCAGACTGGGTGTAATTGTGTGATTTTCACTCATTGAAACCTCCTTTTTGCAGGTTCAAGCAATTCTCCTGTCTCAGCCTCCCAAGTAGCTAGGACTACAGGCGCGTGCCACCATGCCTGGCTAATTTTTGTATTTATGGTAGAGAGGGTTTCTCCATGTCGGCCAGGCTGGTCTCAATCTCCTGACCTGAGATTATTTGCCTGCCTCAGCCTACTAAAGTGCTAGAATTACAGGCATGAGCCGCCCTGCCTTAGCCTGATAAATCTATTTTCAAAGGAGTAAATATGACCATTGCACCTTCAACAGAAATTGGAATATGGCACATACATTTCAACATAAAATGAATTATCAGGCATTGAATTAGTATAGTCATATTGAAGAAACGTCAGAACTTCATTGGTCGTTATTATTATAGTTGTTTGAGTTGTAGTTAGGGTAAAGTAAGGGAGCCAACATGTCTGAGAATTTACAACTTGTACACATTGCCTACAGTTGGAATAAAGTGTGTTAAACTCCAACCTCTTTGGTATGATGTTGGGACCTAAACTTTTGCCACATCCTTCATTGTCTTAGCATACTTAGGCTGCCATAACAGAATACCAGAAAGTGGATGGTTTAAACAACAGAATTTTTTTTTCCCCCAGATCTAAGAGGCTTGGAACAGAAAAATTTTCTTATACTTTTGGAGCCTGGAAGTTTAAGATCAAGGTGCCAACATAGTTTCTGGTGAGTTCCTGTCTTACAGATGGCTACCATCTCACTATGTGTTCATGGTGTTTCTTTGGTGCCTGAGAGGAGAGTGAGGTCTAAGTTTCTCCTTATCTTTTATAAGGACACCAGCCCTACCGGGATTAGAGCCCTATCCTATGATCTTTGGTTTCGTGTACCTCCTAAAGGCCCTATCTCCAAATACAGTTACACTGGGGTTCAGGGTTGTAACATATGAATTTCAGGGGACAGTTTAGTCTATAACATTCTGTCCCTCGCCTGCCAAAATGTATGTCCTCCCATGCAAGATAAATTTATTCCATGCCAACAGCCCCCTGAAAGTCTTAACTCATTTTTGCATCAATTCTAAAGTTAAAAGTGTTACCTAAAAATCATCTAAATCAGGTTATGGGTGATAATCAATGTATGATTCATCTGGAGACATTCGTTTTCCAGCTTTGAACCTGTGAAACCAGAAACATTACATGCTTCTAAGATATAGTGGTGAAACAGGAATAGGATAGACATTCCCATTTGAAATTAGAGAAATAGGAAAGAGGGAAGGCGTAATGGGTCCTAATCAAGTCCAAAACCTGCAAAGGCAAATTTGGTTAGATTTTAAGAAAACTCCCTTTTGGCTTGAATTCCTGAGTTTCAGGCCCACTGGGGTTGCAGCGTCACCTCTGACTCTGTGGGTGGTCTACTCTATCTGCCCTGCCTGACGTCTTATTCTTTCAGTTTGGTGGGGTCCCACCCAGGCAGCTATCTGTGAGGGACTCTCACACAGTTCTGCAGGGCATCCTTTGGAACTTAGCTGGAGTCAGCCTTAACTACCTGTTTCTACCCCCACCCTACCCTATCTGTACTCTGAGTCTGAGTTGAAAGTGGCAGCCCTGGTGGCTCATGCCTGTAATCCCAGCTCTTAGGGAGGCAGAGTCCAGTGGATCACTGAAGGTCAGGAGTTCTAGACTAGCCTGGTCAACATGGTGAAACCCCATCTCTACAAAAAATACAAAAATTAGCTGAGCATGATGCCAGGTGCCTGTAATCCCCACTAGTCAGAAGGTTGAGGCAGGAGAATCACTTGAACCTGGGAGACAGACGTTGCAGTAAGCTGATATTGTGCCACTGCCCTACCGCCTGGGTGACGGCATGAGACTCCCTGGGCAACATGTCAAAACCCCCATTAAACAACAACAAAAATATTAGCCAAGGTATGGTGGTGCATAACTGTAGTACCAACTACTTGGGAGGATTGCTTGAGCCCAAGAGGCAGAGGTTGCAGTGAACTGAGAATGTGCCACTGTACTCTAGCCTAGATGACAGAGCAAGACCCTGTCTCAAAAAAAAATAATAATAATTGTTCAACCATACATCTTTAAGGAAAGCTTTCTCAATTTTTACAATATGGATAGATTGAGAAATCTATTCCAAATCTCCAATTTCTGATTGTGTTTTGCTTAAAAATTGCTTCTTCATTTAGTCTCTTTCCTCTCACATTTTACTATAAGCAATTAGGGGGACCTAAACCATACCTTCAATACTTCGCTTACACATCTCTTCTGCTAAATATTCAGTTTTATTGCTTATAATTTCTACTATCCAGTAAACACTAGAATGTAAATTCAGCCAAGTTCTTGACACATTCTAACAAGGACAGCAATTTCTGCAGTGTCCAAAAACCTGTCCCTCATTTTGATGTAAGGCCTCACTAGAGTTGTTTAATGTTCATATTTTAACCAACATTCTATTCATGATCATTATGAATCTAAGTTTCTAAGAAAATGGAAGCTTTCTCTCCAGCTTGCTTCCTTTCTGAGCCTTTGCCAGAATTGACTTTAATGTCCATATGTCTATCAATAATCCTTTCACAACTGGCCTTTTCTATCATGAACCTTAAACTCTTCCAGCCTTTACCAAACATCACCAATTTCCTAAGCCACTTCCCCATTTTTAGGTATTTGCTGTTGCAGCATCCCACTCCTTGGTACTAAAATCTGTGTTAGACAGCTTGGGTTGCCATAACAAAATACCACAGATTGGTGGCTTAAACTAGAGACATTTATTTTCTAACAATTCTGCAGGCTGGAAGTCTGAGATCCAATGTGCCGACATGTTCAGTTTCTGGTGAGGACGTCTTTCTGGCTTATAGATTATTTCATAGACACTGACAGATAACCATATCCATTTTTTGTTGTGTTTGCTAATAATCAGAGCCAAAAGTGTAGGGCTCTAAATTTACACTACAACAAATTGTCCTGTCATTAAGCATTCACCTCAAAATGACCAGACTGAGCTGTGCTCTAAATTTTAGAAATCTGGAGCTTGGTTCTGATCCCTAGTCTGTTCTGTCTCATTAATGGCGTTTTCAATAACCACGATTCCAAAGACTGACTATATGCAGGAAACTTCTAATTTTACATCTCTAACCTGTCCCTTTCTGAAATGCAAATGTGTGTACTTCCATTTTTGCTTGACATCTCCATTTAGAACTCTAATAGGCCTTTCACCCTGAATACTTTGAAGACATAAGAATAAACATTGTACTCCTTAAGCCTGTTATCCTTTCCAGTTCGTCCGAATTCCATAACTGACACTACCATTTACTCAAATCAACATTCTAAAAGTGGCACTTGCTGCATTTCCTTCATCTCTACAAACCCAAAGTATCTGTGAGTCAGGTCACTTGCATGTTTAATACATGCAATTCAATTATTTCTCCATACTTCTTACCAAGACCTGAGGGTCCACTCAGTGACCACCTCTGACCTCTGTTCATCTCTTCTGCTGTTCTCCTTTGCTGTTCCAGCCACAATGGTTTCTTCTCACCAAGGACAGGCATTTCACAGATTGAGCTGATTCAAGACATTTACCTTCTTGGGCTCAATCTCTGAAATGCCTGTTCTTTGATGTTTCTTCTGATGAGCTCCTTTTCACTCTCAGGTCTCAGCTCTTTTTCAGAAAAAAAGTAGACCACCAAAATAGATTAAAAATCTGAGAATATGAGGCCGAGGCGGGTGGATCACGAGGTCAAGAGATCGAGACTATCCGGGTCAACATGGTAAAACCCTGTCTCTACTAAAATATAAAGAGAGATGCAAGAAAGTAAGCTTTCTCCTTTTCCCCCTTCAAATTATGTTCTATTACTCATCCTGTTTAGATTCTTTACAATGCAGTTTGAAGTTTTATCAGATTTTTGTTGTTTGCCTTTTTCCATTAAACTCTGCTCTGTAACTAGGAATTCGGTCTGTCTATTCATTCACTGTTGTGTCCCAGCATCTACTAGAGGGCCTGATATTTAGTGGAAACACAAATATCTGGTAAAAAAAAAAAAAAAAAAAAAAAAAAACAAAATAGATATTTTCTAGCCCAGAAAGCTGTTTCACTGCCCAGAGTTTGGTTATCTAAATTTCTATATAAAAATGTATATCTACAAATCATTGTTAATACGTTACCTACTCACCTTACCCGGCTACCAGGAACACAGTAAGGTTTAGAATTATGCCCCATTTGTTTTCGACACCCTTACCATTTTCCCAGTTTCTGCACTAACCTCTCCAGACTTCATGTATATTGATAAGTCTAAGTTACCTAGATTGTTAATTCTTTTAAGGGCCTGTTCTCTACTAGATGGAATTATGCAGCAAATAATTCACTTTAATATGCTCTGGGTCCAGGGTTAATAGAGGTTTGCTTAAAATCATGGAAAGAAAATGGTCACACAGCTCGAGTGATCAAATCTGTGCTGTTTCATCCACTTAATGTTTATTTTGTGATAATGGAACCTCCCAGCTTTTATATTTTCTTTCTTTTTTTGAGACAGATTCTCGCTCTGTTGCCCAGGCTGAAGTGCAGTGGCACAAATTCAGCTAACTGCAAACTTCACCTCCCAGGTTTAAGCGATTCTCCTGCCTCAGCCTCCCAAGTAGCTAGGATTACAGGTACGTGCTGCTATGCCTGGCTAGTTTTTGTGTTTTTACACATGGTGTTTCCAACGTTGGCCAGGCTGGTCTCCAAATTTGGGCCTAAAGTGATCCTCCTGCCTTGGCCTCCCAAACTGCTGAGATCACAGTACTGAGCCACTGCACTTGGCCCCAGCTTTTATGTTCTAATGCTGAGATTATTCAGTTAACACTCTTATCTAGTAGGATAAGTTTGTTGAAGAATTCTACCTAACCTTATTCCCTGTGCTTTTCACATGTATGTCTACCCTGAGCCTTCTCATCCTTTCCATAGATCTTCAGTAAATACAGGGGGAAAAAAAACCGGAATGATTATGTTGACAGCAAAACATGTTTGTGCAGAAATGGACTACTCACTCTCTAAGCTTCAGAGACTTAGGGGAGTGTATTCCTGAGTTATCTGTCATTGTAGCCGTCACTAGATCTTAAATCCCAGTTGCTACACTGAAGGGCATTATTCTTTTTAGAGTTGTGCTTTGCAATACAGTAGCCATTAGCCACATGTGACATTTTAAATTTAAATAATTAAATCAAAAATTCAGTTTCTCAGTCTCACCACACTTAAAGTTGCTTACGTCTACTGTATTGGATACGCAGATATAGAATATGTCTATCATCACAGAAAATTCTAATGAATTGCACTGGGGTTGGTACTTCTAGTGCTTCTGGGCTAATGTGTTCAAGTGCACATAACTAGCTTCCTCCAGGTGGAATCAGAGTATAACTTTGCCATATAAAATACAAGACACCCAATTATATTTGAATTTCAAACAAGCAATAAATAATTGTTGAAGTATGCCCATCGTTACATCACCCCAGATACTACATGAGACATCCCATACTTAAAAATAACAACAAAAAAACTGCTGTTTATCTGAAACTCAGATTTAACTGGACATTCAGCATTTTTAATGTGCCAACCCTATTTGAAGAGCAAAATTGGACTGTCGAGCCTAGAGGACAGGACACCACAGGGAATTTGAGAAACTGAGAAGGGTTGGTACCTGTAAAGAAGCTAACTCATTATGAAGAAAAGGATCTGTAAGGTTTTCTGTA